AATTATTAAGGCCCCTACAGTATCTCAGAAGCACGCAGATCCCTGGAGGCAGCTAACACCGATGCAGCTCACCCTCGTCTTCCGTCATATTCATGCCATCAAGATTTGAACGTGGCTCCCTAGGCAATACAACGACTTTGGCGACAATCGACGCAGGGATATACCCATCTGACACAAACACCCGGTTCAGGGTTTAGGGATTGGGGATTGCCTTAAAGAAATAACCCTAAAAGGGCAGGTTCCTTAGGGTCCAGGTAGGGTTCAGGGTTTAGGGGTTTAGGGCCCTGATCTTGAGAGACTCCAAGAGGGCTGGGGGCCCTGCGACTCCAGGTACTCTGTGAAGCCTGAGCCTGAGTCAGAAGCTTTGGGTGCTCAGTCAAGAAGCAGGGATTGAGGGGTTTGGGATTTAAGGTTTTAGGGTCTAGGGCTTAGGGTTACCGGGGTTGAGGGTTTAGGGTTCGGTGTTTGGGGTGTGGGGTTTAGGGTTACCGGGGTTTAGGGCTTAGGGATTGGGGTTTAGGGTTACCTTTGTGTGGCAAACCCGAAATTCCATACAAAGGGCTTTAATATGAATTTAGTAAGGAAACCCCTAATTCCACACAAACCCTTTTTATTGGGAAACCCCTAATTCCAATAATTACCGAGACACGCTCAACTCCTTGAACTATTGGACTTGCTCCAACAACGGCGACACCTTTGATGATGTATTGCCGGTGCGACTCTGGCTATCCATGGCCTTGATGATACTCTTGAGTGCTTCGACATCCAAACCATTCATGAACGCCTAGATGTTGATGTTGGACAGCGAAAGTGCCGAGCGAACGGGGGCAATGTCATTATCCTTCGGCGTGGGTTGGATGATTACGGTAATTTCCTCACGCAATCCACGCTTTTTCCCAGCTCCAACTGCGAGTCCAGTAGAAACACGGATAATGTCGCCGTCGACACGTGACAGAACAACAACGGGCATCCAAGTTTACGGATTCTAGGAGGGCTTTCAAGCTTTATGCCAAATCGAGAAATCAGGTTGCAATTTGTCTACCCTAAACCCTAAACCCTAAACCCACTCCCTGAACCCTAAACCCTAAACCCATTTGTCTACCCTAAACCCTAAACGCTAGACCCTAAACCCAGTGGGTCCTGATACGTCCGAGGCGGTCCATAGGCCCCAGATTGCCAACCAAATCCGTCTCAACAAAACACCAACTAGCATATTTTACTGGTAGAGTAACTTAGTGAATAGAAGTTGTAGCATCTTCTAGTATCTTACCAGGTACGACATAAACCCTAAACCCTAAACCCCTCAACCCTAAACCCCTAAACCCGAAATCCATAAACCCTAAACAATAAAAACATCAACCCCGAAACCCCTAAACACTAAACCCCCTTAACCCCAAACCCTAAACCCTAAACCCTAAACCCTAAACCCTAAACCCTAAACCCCTTAAGCGTCCTTTTTGCTCCTCTCGCTTCGGATGGTTCCAAAGGTTCCTTGGCCCCGGCAGCCGCGCCCAGGCCAGGCGCCGGCGTTCCAGGCTTCGAAGGAGGCCGTAGTAGGGGGAACCTCAGGGTTTAGGGTTTAGGGTTTAGGGTTTAGGGGGAGGCCGTAGTAGGGGGAACCTCAGTTTGAGGGTTCAGGGCTTTGAGGGCTTAGGGTTTGAGGGTTTAGGGTTTAGGGTTTAGGGAGAGGCCGTAGTAGGGGGAACCTCAGGGTTTAGGGTTCAGGGCTTTGAGGGCTTAGGGTTTGAGGGTTTAGGGTTTAGGGTTTTCAGGGTCTGTGTTCCCTAAGGGTCCGGCTGGCTAATAAATATACTTTCTTCCAAAATTGTGTAAGGTTTAGGATTTAGGGTGTAGGGTTTAAGGCTTAGAATTTATTAAGTAACCTACACAACTACGAGTATCCTAAAACCCTAGACCCTAGACCCTAGACCTATCCTAAACCCGAGTACCTCAAACCCTAAACCCTAAACCCTAAACCCTAAACCCTAAACCCTAAACCCACTCTTGGGTCCTTTGGACCCTTTGGGATTCCAGTGAGAGAAATGGAGTCTCAGGTACAGGGAACCGAAGTCTCAGAGCTCCGGGTTCCTACTTAGGGTTTAGGGTTTAGGGTTTTAGTAAACTTCAAAATGCAGGAAAGTAAGGGTTTAGGGGTTTAGGGTTTATAAGGTGAAAGTAAGGGTTTAGGGGTAAGGTTATAATGTTTTTGCAAACCTCAAATGCAGGGTTTAGGGTTCAGGGGTTTAGGGTCTATTTGTAGTAAACCTCAAATGCAGGGTTTAGGGTTTAAGGGTTATAGTAAACCACGAAAAGTTGGAAATCGGATTAGGGACAAATAGTGCTGGGAGTCCCCATACATTACCTTACTTCCCCAATAAGCCAGGGAAATAAAAGGTTAAACTTTCAGATTACTACTTGGGTATTGGGGAACTAAGTTATTCTTTAGGATTGAGGGGCTTAGGTTTCCAACTTTTGGGCTTCTACTTTAGTCCTTCACGGGTTTACGGCTTAGGAAATCGAGCCCACACCACGATGAAAAGCATTATGCCCCCGGTGCATAATACAAGTAAGTCCGTAGAGCGTCAAGGTTCTCAGCACCAACCAGACCGCAGAGTAGCTCAACCCGAACTAAGTTATCTTAGACCGTGAGTTTGGATCACGAGTCTGGACTGAGTTAGGGCTTTGCGATCTGGGATACCCAAACTGACTGCGTAGACCTACTCTGCCGACTATATAAGTTTTCGGATTGAGGGTTCCCTAGACCAAATTCCATGCCGGCTGGTGGGGATCTACTTGGACCACGACCCGCCGCGGCTGCTCGGGGTGACATTTCCTACTGCTAGGGTGCTACGATTGAAACTGCAACTGCAACTGCAGATCCAGGCAGGGCGAAGGAAAACAATAACAGAGGATCTGGAATCAGGATTGACATCTTCTCCTGTCTTCATCCTCCGGCGCCTCCCATTTAAGGCTTATGGAACCTTTACAAGCCCATGGTGTTTAGGTAGGCCTAAGTCGTCAACCTCAACCAAAACGAAGGGACTCTGCGTATCGGGTTCACCTGTGGAACAAAGGACCGACCTTTTTAAGGATCCCTAAACCCTGAAGCCTAAGCCCTAAACCCTAAGCCCTAAACCCTAAACCCAAAGCCCTAAAACCTAAGCCCTAAACCCTAAGCCCTAAACCCTAAGCCCTAAACCTAGACTCTAAACCCGAGGCCCTAAAACCATAACAAGCATCTAAGAACTTCAGACTTGGGCTGCTTCATGGCCCTTACAGAAACGAGTGTTCGAGGTCATATAGATGTCCTAAACCCTGAACCCTGTACCCTCTAAAGCCCTAAACTCATGATTAAGGCTTTAGGATTGCAGGCTTACGGCTTAGGTGCTTAAAGTCCCTTCACCTCAAAAAAGCACCCGTCTACACCTGAACACCTCGTGATTAAACCGAGACCTCACATCTAAACCCCACACCCTGAACCCTTAACGTGGGCCTCAGAGAAGATCCTTCGAAAGACTCAATAATATTCCTAAACCTCTACACAACCACCAACTCCCCCAAAATGTGACACCGAAACCCTGAACCCTAGTTAAAACATGAACCCTAAAGCCTAGACCCTAAACCTTCTGAACCACCTCATCGTTGCAGCGGAAGCGGCACTTCTGGCCTTCTTGCTCCTCAGCTCTCATCTCTTACAAGGCTCAAGGCTTCTCCCTAAGACTTCAAAACCCTCTACTTCATGGCCTCTTTTCAGGTCCCTAAACCCTAAAACCCTAAACCCTAAACCCCAATAATTTTGTACGGGCATAGACCCTAAACCCTAGGCCCTAAACCCTAAGCCCGAATAAGTGTGTGTGGGGGGGCTATGGGGTGCAGTATCCGGTTTTAGAGGTTAGCCTGCGGGGGTCAGGGGGAGCTGAAGGGGTTTAGGGTTTTTAGGGCTTTGAGGGTTTAGGGTTTAGGGTGAGAGCTGAAGATGACCAGAAGCTTCAGGGATTCGAGCGGATTAGGGTTTATAGGGCATGTAGGGTTTACTGGCAAGGTTTATAGGGCTTATAGGGTTTACCTAGACCCCGAAGAACCTAACGTTTTGGGGCATATCATGGTGATTTCTTCAGAAAAGCCCTGAAACAGTAAGTTATTTGGGGTTAAGGTAGCGTTTAGGATTGAGAAGTTGAGGACTTGGGCTTAGAGCTTATAGGGCTTAAGGTCTTGATGCTTTAGAGTTCTTCGGGTTTTAGCAAAGCCTTGATATCTTTCATGATTACAATTTGGGGTGTTCGAACTCGATGCTTTGGAGTTATAGGTTTGAGGACCCAAGTAGCGAAAAAAAACACATACCCCCCCTAGAAAAAATACCGAATTAAACAACTACAGCCCCAATCGCGGATATCCAATTGTAGGGTTCTTTGGTATAGGATACCTTGGTCGAAGGCACGAGGACCTGATGGTAGTCGAACCAGCAGGCGTGGGCATCCACTGCTGCCTTCATCCTCGCATGCTTGTGCTCGTGTTTATGTTGGCATGGTTGTTGCTATGCTCGAGAAATTTAGTTGTTCCGTTTCTGAGGGCTGCTAACAATGAGCCCTATAAAGTGAGCGTCTGTGAAGGAATGGCCTGAAGGTTTAGAGCTTTTCGTGCTTTTCGGTACACAGGCTGAAGGCTATGTTAGATACCCTGCCAAGTCTTTTTCATCATAATGGATGCACGAGTCGAGTGTCGTGAAGGCGATAAGCTTGCGTGTGAGACCCCAACTTCTTCAACTTTTCAAACTCCCAAACCCAAGGCCCCAAACCCTAACACTGAACTGGATTGCACTCCAGAGCCCTCTAAAGCTACAAACGACTATAGGTACCGCTGAAAGACCATGAAGGGCAGATAAAAGCAAGACCCCAAGCACCGAAACTCCACCACATGCCCTAAATCCTAAACCCCTAAATTCTGAGCCCTAAAATACCCTAGACCCTAACCCTGATACCCGCATTCAACTCCAAAGCCCTAAACTTTACACGATTCTTACAGCAGATTCCCTCTCAGAGAACCCGAAACCCGAAATTCGGACACCTTAGGTTTAGGGTTTAGGGTTTCGGGGCTAACCCTGACCCCGCCATACTTGGGAATCCAACATCATACTGGTTTAGGGGTTTATACCCTATATAAAAGGGATCACAACCTACTATGGTGTAGGGTTTGGGGTTGAAGGTGAACTCTTTACAATAGACCCCGTTCGAGGCGCAGGGCTTTGAGTTTAGGGCTTTTAGGGTTCAGGGTTTCGTTGCTACTGGCCACGGGGCTGGAGGCACAGAGCGTGCCAAAAATACAGGGTTTGGGTTACAGGAGCCCTGAACTAAAATCTGAGGCATGACTGCCCTTGTCGACAGTAATAGGGTTTAGGGTTTCGGGTTGAGGATAGATAGTATCCCTCAAAGTCCGGGCACCTAATACTAATAATACTTAAACTCTCCCAAATACTAACCGACCTATACTATCCTGTATCGTACAATACTCCTACCCGGCCTACCCTAAACCCTAAACCCTAAACCCTAAACCCTCCTACCGAATGGCTGTGTCCTTTGGACCCTAAGGGGATGGCTCTGGGCTGGAAAACTCCAAATCCCGGAGCAAATCGCTCCTCGTACCTACAGATGTCTAAGCAGTCGTAGTATTTTCTGGGGCTTAGGTTTTAGGGTTTAGGGCGAGGGTTTAGGTTTTAGGGTTTAGGGTTTTTTTACTGAGAGTCAATACTGCTGCTAGTTAGAGTCAGGATCACAATCATGCAAATCGTCCGTTGCCACGTACAACTGACATAACCACCATCGGGAATACTTGACTTGGTATCGCAGCCGCCAGGGCCCCCAGATGTAGGCCCACGCAAGCTAGGGATCTCGAACACCGAAGTTTCTACTGTAAAACAGTTGAGACCCGGGCTGCAGGGTTGAGGGTTTTTTGAGGTTTAGGGTATTGCGGGTTTAAAGTGTACTGCTTAGGGTCGAGGGTGCGACGCTACCCTGAGGAACAGGCCGCCGAAGCGTTCCGCTGGGAATTGACAGCAAGTGGTAGTACCTCAGCTTTGAATCAGCTTTAGGCTTTAAGGTACCCGTAAATACTACATCGCAACGATTTCAACTTCCAAAACCCTCAACCTTAGAGTTTCCATGAACCTTCGACTGACAAAGGACCCGCAAGACATTGTAAGGCTTCCCGTGGGCAAACCAGAACCCAAAGAACTGGAACTTTCCCTAAAGTTTCACGTCCCCATTTCGTACATACTTTGGCAACCCCTTTGAACCTAGCTAATTCCTCTATACTACATAACTCTACGCCTCTTTTAACCCACACAACCCTAGAAGACATGTGAACCCGCAGGACTTTGAAGCAGGCAAGGAGCAGGTCCATATCTACGTCTGCCATGGGCCACCTGCAAGAGTTGGTGCCGAAGGCGCTCATGCAACATACGTGCGGCTGACCTACAAAGGGGCCCGAGAGCACCTAATACACGTTTTTTCACGAAATACCTACGAATTGTGCCCACTACTAGAGGCACTGTTGCGCTTTTCATTTATCCGTACACAATATACGTAGCGGTACAAAATCTGCATAGAGAAAAAAGTATCGAGAACGAGCATGACGCTGATGCTGCTGCTGCCGCTGCTGCCGCTGCTGCTGCTGCTGCTGATGATAACCATGATGATGACGACGATGATGAGGCTGCTGAAGACGATCATAACGATGATGATGATGATGATGACGATGGGAAGGGGGACGAGGAGGAGAAGCAAATAGGAAATGAAAATGCAAATGGATATAACTGTGACAACACCAAACCTCACAAACTTATCGAACGACGGAGCCGTCCATCTTAAGGACGCTCACACAGAGATACACACCCATACAATGATGCAAACATACAGCATATGTAAATTTATTGATAGACAAACAGACAAATAGATAGGCAGGTAGGTTGATATATACATGGATGGATAGATAGAGGGATGGATGGATAGATAGAGAGAGAGAGAGAGATGGAGCGACAGACAGAGATATCGATAGATAGAAAACATAGATAAACGGATAGATGGATAGATAGATAGATAGATAGATAGATAGATGGATAGGTAAATAGAAAGATCGATGTATGGATGGATAAATGGATGGATGGATACATGCATGGAAGGATGGATAGATAGAGAGAGAGAGAGAGAGGGAGCGATAGACAGCGAGATCGATAGACAGATAGATAGATAGATAGATATAGATAGATAGATAGATGAATATATAGGTAGGCAGATGGATAGATGGATAGATAAACAGATTAGATAGATAGATAGTTGCATAAATAGATAGATAGATACGTAGATAGAGAGGTAAGTAGATAGAGATAGATAGATGGATAGATAGCAAGATCAATATGCAGATGCAATTAGACACAGATAAGGACAGCGAGAGAGAGAGAGAGAGAGGGAGAGAGAGAGAGAGAGATTCAGAGGCAGAGAGAGTGAGAGATTCAGAGGAAGGGGGAGAGAGAGGGAGAGAACGAACTTTGAATTCTTGTATATGCATGCAACTGTATGTGTACATACATATATATATATATATGCGTGTGCGTATATATGTATATGCATATGTAAAGGTACATGTTTCTGTGGATGTGTATGTTTAGGCACATGTATACGTATGTGGCTTGTTAGTTCTACTACGCGCGTGTGTATTTCTATTAACACGAAAACCGTAGATCCTTCAGGAGGTCCGTGTATATATTTGCATATACATATATATATATATATGTGTCGCCGAGACCTTTAGGGTCTATTTGGCCATTTCCCCACTTCTTACGTACACAATCCATCACGGACAGGCCCTGTAGACACTGTAGATGATGCAATCCACAACGGCTGAAATCCGAATGTCCATGCAGATGCCACATTAGACAGTAGTAGCAACGGTATGAGGCCGAACCAATACACCAGGCAAGCATTATAAGAGGACAACAACATGTCCCTCAGCAGCAAACAAAAACCCCGTTGTAGTTGCAACCTCGGCAGACACGCCAGCTGTCTCAGACCAACGGTGATCACGAAATTGATTTAACAGAAATCGACCAGTCATGCAGAGCCTACGGCCAACGGCATAGCCAGACGCGATGTCACAGTCTCTGTACAACTCTCCGGCATAGCCGGGTCCGAAGCTGACTTGTTTCTTTTGTGCAGGAGCTTAAGGCTCAAAGTCACTGAGTGCTTTGAAGTCATATGCTGCCATCAGTGTCAGGTACTGACATGTAGGGAAGCTAGATAGAAGCCTTCAGGACATTAGATGGTCACTGCATTGGAACAAAGACCAGTTACTCCAGGCTCCGAGCTCAGCCAGATCGACGCAAGCTCTGAACATAACCACGCTTGGGAAGCACGCAAGCAACGCCTTGCATTCCTTCGGCTTCAGGCTACACAAAACTACTAGACCCCTTATGAATTCACAGAGCTTATAAAAGGGAGCATCAGTGCACGGACTCGACATGTATGCCTCAGACTCGGCCTTGGGCATAGACTGATGCCATATGTGATCTCGCGCACATTCCTCGTCTTGGCTCAACGGTGTGGGATTGCTGCCGGTGAAGTTCGGGCCCCAGTCCTCTGTGGTGTTGCCTGTATCAATGGCCAACACTTTGTGCAGCTCTGATAGCAGCATCCTGGAACCGGCCGTTCACTTGTTCCAATGCGCATATTCATACACGATTGCAAGATGGATTGGGTCAACGGCCACACACTCGAGGCTCACGCAGATACTCTGTAACATCGAGAACAGCTTCGGAGACGGCTGATCTGTAGCGAGAAACTCGACTTGAGCCAAGGCAGCTTCTGAGAAGCTGAGCTGGAACTGATCCACAACATGCTCTGCTTTCTCAGTTGCGAGGAGCTCCATCAGCAGGACAGCTCCGGCGCGACCTCGGACTGTCAGGAGCCGCCTCCATGCTGAAGCGTCACGAAAAGGGGCAACATTTCGGGCCGCCTTCGGTGCCCGGTACGACTCTTGACCCTTGAGCTTGAGGCATGTCTTAAGCGTTGCGTTGCATCCACACTCACGTACAGCCACTCCCTGTTGACGAGAAGAACATCCAGCATTTGGTTCATCTTCGTTTGAACTGCAGCTGCGTACGCGACATCCTCAACCAGTGGCCACCAATGCCGAGTGCGAGTGGGATACAGCGAGGAAAGCTAATTGCCAGCTTCGTGGGCTCGAAGATGCAAGCTGGGCCAGGTACTTCGAACCTGCACGAAATGTCTGGGTTCAGGTATGGAAGCAGCGCCAGCAAGACAGCCCGTCTGAACATGATGCATCAGTACCTCCTGCGAGCGCATCTGTGCAAAGACTTGTCATAGTAGATGTTCCGAACTCGGCGAGCCACTATTGTTTCGCCGAGCTCGGAGACGTTGATCTACTCTGGACCACTGGACTTGAAAAGTAACCTGATCGTCTTGCCCACATAGTTGCGAGACGTAGATGGAGGTGGGACCACAGTGGCTGCCATGAGCTGTGCGCTCTCTTGAAGGTATTGACAGACTTGCAGTTGGTCCTGCAGCATGATCGTGCAAAGCGAGGATCACCTTAATCTGCTCGGTGCCAGAGCAAACATGTGGGTTGATGTCAGTGTGGTACTCGCGGACATGGGTCAAAAGTACCGTCTTGTTGTTAAAAACTCGACAGGGGCACAACCTGCGTGTGTGCTTGCCGCCGGCTTTCATGTTCCGGTCGCCTGACTGCAACATCTCCATGCGCACGCGGACTTCCTCGGCCATCTTCGCCAGTATACTCTCGGAAAACATCAGAGCCTCACCCTCACCTTCAACCATGCTGCATTGATAAGGCAGCATGGCGGCGGCATCTTCTGCATCTGACCCCGCACCGTCACTGGCACCTGAATGCCTTGCTGCAGCCTGGGCCCGGACCTCTCCGAAGAAGCTGGTGAAGCATGGCTTGCCTGCCCTTGTCGAGGGTTGCACATTTCGCTCCAACTTGAAGATCCAGCAACAGAGAAGCGGTGGCATCTCTCCCCAAGGATTGTTCCCAGGAGCTCACTGCCGTTGATGAGTCTATCCCATCGAGAGCACACGAGGTGAAGTTCTTGGACGTGAGACGATAGCGCGTTGCACCATCAAGCACGGATGCATGATCTCTGGTGACATTGTACTGTACAGCCAAGCAGTGAAGGTTGCCGTCGTTTTCGAAATCGAAAATGAACTTGTCGACTCCCGAAGCTGGAAGCCCCAGACAAGCTTGGAGATCCTTTGTTACCATGGTGGCACATGCCCTGTATAGGAGTGGAACCCTTGCTCAATGGCGTCTGCGTTCTCCTTTCTGTCTGCCTTGCTGCAGGCTGCGCTGATTTCCGCTCTGCTCTTTGGGAATAGATGCCACATGGCGCATGTTCTGCAATTGCCGCTCTGTAGCAACGCCACTGGTACCGATCTCAAAGAAAACATAGTCTCGGGTTTTGCAGCAAGCAAACCCTTGATCGTACTTGTGGTCTTCTGCACAATACGGACACTGAGCCCGGTCTTATCGACAAAAGCCTTTTCGCATCTATGCTTCAGATCAACATTCTGTTCAACAGCAGCCCTGTCGATGCTGACAACATCGAAATGTAAGGATAGATGCTTGGGCAAAAATGGACACAAGGCTTCTAGCCGGGCATCGACAATAGCATCTTCCACCGAGGTCCAGAACAGATGTAGCGTGGACGCCATCGGCGGCTCTTTTTGGCATCATGAAACACACACACATATATATATATATATAATCAAAATATGTACATACATATATCAATATCTCATATTGCTCTATATTTATGCTGTGCTATACTTTAATACATCACTTCTAATTTTACATACACATATGACATGGATGCATAGAAACGAAAGGAGAGAGGTACACTGTTACACATAACATGAGCACATCAAACTTTTCGCACATGACGACATGCGTTGCTTAGGGGTCCGAGTATCCAAACTTGCGTAATGTAGGGGCCTTAATAATCAGAATAAGGTTTTTGGGGTAAAGTATACTCTAACCATAAGAAGGAACCCCTAAAATCGTGTCATTCTTTAGGCCCCTATGTTAGGGTTTCATGTCCCAGCAGCTGCTTTCTGCTATCGGGGAACTAAAACCCTGCTATTATGGGCAACAGAAACCATCGGTCCTGGACCTGATTCCCAAAACCCAGTTCCCAAACTTAGGGTTTAGGGTTTAGTTAGGTTTGGGTTTAGGGTTTGGGTTTAGGGTTTAGGGAGTAAGGTTTAGATTGGGGTTTAGGGTTTAGGGTTTAGGGAGGTGCAGGACTTGTACCCCTGGGAGGAGGTACAGCAAGACTGCTACTTTTGCTCATCTCGAATGATCAAGGACCCGCGGAGCTGAACTTTGAGGGCGAAACAGTATGCAGCGAAGTTTGAAGACAGGGTGCTGAAGACATCAGAACTGATGTCGACAGTTAGATTCTGTTTGCAACGAGGCGCTTGATGGAGAAGTCTTCCCAGCGAATGTCGCCATCAAAGGGCACCCCGAAATCATCACCTGAGGTAATTACATGCATCACGCATTTAGGGGTTTCGGATTTAGGGCTTAGGGTTTAGGCTCTAAGGTAGTTTTAGAACTCAAGTAACTAGACCTCTGGTCTCCATGGTAGTTCCTTTTATTTTGGGGTTTAATTCATGTTTATAGCTACGGTCTTATAGGGTAATTTTAAAAGGGAACTCCGATGGAGATGAGAGGGAACGTCATACGGCCTCCCCCTTTTCGGGGTACCTACTTTGCTCTATAGCAGATCCAAGCCATAAAACTAGTCACCTCAAGAAAGCTCGGCATGATCCTCTAGGTAGGGTTCAGGGCTTGCAGCTAGAGCAGTTATGACACTCTAAACCCTAAACCCCTAATAATAATGATTCCGAATATAGAAACCCTACATTCTACTATATAGGTAACATATGGGCCTACATAATTACCTGTACTATTTTGGGGCTCCTTTCTATAATTACATTAGCATAATATACCCAAAAAATACCCTATTGTAATTGCTAAGGCCCCCTATAGTACTTAGGACCCTTTGCGTAGAAGCTGAGGTCAGTCTGCTTGCTGGAAGTTGTCGTTTCAGCACGGATGCCCTGCCAAACCCTTCTAGTGTCTGCTTGTCCCATAAACCCCATGCCTGCACCCCGAATGCTTTGGGCTTTGGGGCGGTTTAGGGTTTAGGGCTTAGGGCCTAAATCCTTGAACCGCAAGCCTAACTCCTTGGTTCGAAATCAACGTCTCACCAATGCCGTCGCGGATGACTCAGAATCACCGGGATGCACCCAGCGAAGAAGGACCTGGACTCGTACGAAGCCATACTTGCAGTTTCGAGTCGAGGTGGAGTTTGGTTTTGGATCTGGGTTTAGGGTTTAGGGTTTAGGGTTTAGAGGGCTTTGAGGGACCACCGGTGTTCGGGCATGTGAAGATTCAGGGTCCTGTAGTAGTACGGTTTCTCTTAATTACTTCTTGGTAGCTTGAACTGAGCGCCGTGTTGGCGTGGAACAGCGGCATCGGAAAAAAAAAAAAAACACCCTAAACCCAAAGCCCCTAGCGGCACTTCTGGTCCGCGAACCCAACGGCCGCAGCTCATCTAAGAGCTTCAAACTACTGCTGATGATCTTAATCCTGCATTGCCTTAAGGACCCTACACTATGGGAATTATGGCATATTCCTTATTCTGGGTAATGCAGGATTTGCATCATCAAGCGTAGGGAAAACTGATAACATGGGCTTCTTAGGGTGCAGGAAGGCCCTGAGCCCTGAACTTCCCCAAACTGCCCCAAAACAACCCTAAACCCTAACTTCCTAAACTACCCTAAACCCTAAACCCTTAACCCTGAATCCTGAAACCCTAACCTGCCAAGGAACTCGTAGAGATGGTTGGTCCAGGAAGACGTGCCCATGGGAACCAGGCAGAAATGCGAGGCACCTCTGCTGTTTCTTAGGGGTTTAGGGGTTTAGG